GTGCAGGCTCCTGGGCTCTGCAGGTGAGGTGGGAAGGCCTCCAGATGAACAAAAATGCAAAATGAGAGCAGACAGCCGCAGTGTTAGCAACCCACAGCTGGGACTGGGTCCCACCAAGCAAGCAGGGGCCTGGACTCCCTGAGGCCACAACGACCCGGCCGCTTCTCAGGCAGAAGCTGCTGCCACAACCCTTGTGGGCCCAGCTGTTTTCACAGTGCTATTTGCCATAAAGGCTGTCTTTCTTCTGGTTTGCTAAGTAAGAGACCTTCTCAGCAGCCATCGGGGTCACAGCAAAGCCCCTGGGTCACCAGGCAACCCAAGCTGCCAAGGTCAAGGACATGTGAGGATGATGTGGTACCTGGCCAAGAATGAGGTATCCCAGGACAGGAATACCTGCAGGTATCCATATCCCCTGCAGGTATGGGGCAGATGAGGAGGACCGCACCCTGCCCTCAGGAGCCACCACCCACTGCGCTGCTGGACCCAGCAGCCTAGCTGGTTTTTATTGTGGTAAAATATGCACAACACAAAATTCATCTTAGTTCATTTTTCAGTGTACATTCAGTGGCATTAAGAACATTCACATCGTTGTGCAACCATCACCACCCTCCATCCTCAAAACGTTTGCGTCATGCAAAACTGAAACTGTCCCCTTCAGACAGCTCCCCAGCCCCTGATCCCAGCCCCTGGCAACCTCCATTCTACTTTCTGCTTCTAGGAATTTGATTATTGTAGCTACGTCAAATAAGTGGAATCATACAGTTTTTTATTATTTAGGCATCTGACAAAGATAAAGATATTTTTAAAGCCATTTCAAAACTGGGTGTCGTGGCTCATGCCTGTAATCCCAGCACTTTGGAAGGCCGAGGCGGGTGACTCACCTGAAGTCAGGAGTCTGAGACCAGCCTGGCCAACATGGTGATCTCTCATCTCTACTAAAAATAGAAAAATTAGACCCCTGTGCAAGTGCACAGAGAGCCCTGTGGTGGCATGCACCTGAAGTCCCAGCTACCCAGGAGGCTGAGGCTGAAGAATCCTTTGAATCTAGGAGTCGGAGGTTGCAGTGAGCCAACATCTCACCACTGCACTCCAGCCTGGGCAAGAGAGCAAGACTCCATCTCAATAAGTAAATAAATAAAGACATTTCAATTGAATTGATACAGTCATTTTACCCCTTTCTCCTTTATTTTTCAATTAATAAGTAGTAAAAATAACTATTTCAGTGTACGGTTCTATGAGCTTTAAGACATGTAGAGATTGTGTAACCACCACCACAATTAGGATACAGAGATGCTCAATCCCCCAGGAAAACTCCCTGTACCACTCCTTTATATTCACGCCCTTCCCCTACCCCAACCACTTACAACCACCAATCTACTCTTTGTCCCTAGGTCACCTTTTCAGTCATATACATGGATGCAGTAGCCTTTTGAGACTGCCTTCTTTCACCCTAATGCCTTGGAGGCCCATTCAAGTTCTGGCAGGAATCAATAGTTTGTTCTTTCTTACCACACAGTTGTGTGCCACAGTATGCCTGAAGAGGTACGCCAGAAGACAGCATTTGTCCTTTTTGGCCTGGCTTGCTTCCCTTAACATGACGACCTTAAGATGAATCCATGTTGTAGCATGGGACAGAACTTCATTACTTCTTACGGCTGAATTACATTCCATGGGTGTTGTTTTAAATGTGTTGGGGATTTGTTTTAATCAGGTGTAGTAAGAAATTCAGACACAGAAAAGACTGTCAGGAAGGAGAATGTTAATATTCACAGACCCTGGGCACAGGAGCCAGGGCACGCGACACCAGGCTACACAAGGAAGCACCAGGGTGGGTCAGGAGGCAGAGGGTGGGGGCAGGGGGTGCAGATGTGGGCAGGAGCCTTTATTGGGGTTTCCGCAGGAAGGAACAAGTGAGGCAGGGTAAGCAGGCTTAGGGTTGGTTAGTTTGCATAATTTCGGCAGGCTCTAGGGTGCAGGGGCTGTCCCTAGATGTCCCATACTTGCCCTGGGGTGATGAGTGCAGGGAGATGGTGGCCTGGAGTGTGAGAGCCCCATAGAGGAGGTGGTTGGAGTGGTTTGGGACTGTCTGGTTTGCTTATGAAAGGCGTGTTTGCAGGGGACCTTCACTGGAAATCACCTAGCGCCTGGAATGAACAGTCCCCTCCAGGGTTGGCAAGGCCCCAGATGTCACAGCATCAGGAAATGGCAAAAATTTAAAACCTAATCAATATATATGTATAGACCACATGTTGTTTATCTACTCATCCATTGATTGGCTCTTGGGCTGCTTCTGACGTTTGGCTATTGCTAAGAATGCTGCTAGCAACATCGACATACCGGTGTCTGTCCAAGCTCCAAGCAGCCTAGACATATTTAAAGTGCAGGTGGAACTTTTTTTTTATTCTTTTTTTCAGAAAATGAGGAAGGAGGTAGCACCAAAATCAAGGGTTGAAATACAAAATAGTCTTAACTCAATGAAGATGTTTAGGGCTAAGTTCTCACCCTCAGCCCCATTTTTTCCATCATTCTTGGCCAAAAGAATCAGAAACCCTATATTATGCAGTCATAAAAAAGGATGAGTTCATGTCCTTTGCAGGGACATGGATGAAACTGGAAAACATCATTCTCAGCAAACTGACACAAGAACAGGAAACCAAACACCACATGTTCTCACTCATAAGTGGGTGTTGAACAATCGGAACACAAGAACACAGGGAGGGGAACATCACACACTGGGACCTTGTGGGGGTGGGGGGCTAGGTGAGGAATAGCAGAGGGTGAGGGGTTTGGGAAGGAATAGCATTAGAAGAAATGCCTAATGTAGATGATGGGGCGATGCATGCAGCAAACCACCACCATGGCATGTGTATACCTATGTAACAAACCTGCACGATCTGCACATGTACCCCAGAACTTAAAGTGTAATAAATAAATATTTTTTAAAAAAGAGTCCGAAACCCTGCTTCTAGACTAATAGCCACCACCTAGCCATCTTCTCTTTCGTGAAGCAGAAAATGGCCCAGGTCCAGCAGCGTGGCTCTGATTACAGATAGGGAGTGACCCGTGTGTAGGTGTATGGAGAGCCCTTTGCCAACACAAAAAGCTACTCGCAAGCCCAAAATACTGAGGCACTGTGACCTCTGAGGCTGGATCACCTTTGCTGTTCCACCACTGAGCCCCTGCCTGGCTGCACCACGAGCACCAGCACGTGGATCCCTGACTCTAAGGTGAGGGCAGCACCCTCGTGGCCCTTCTGGGCTTGTTGGAGACATTACGATGCAGTATCATCAGAAGTCAGAGAAATAAGGGCATAGATAATGACCAGATTTTTCAAGGAAAGAAAATACCAGTCATTACTAAAACCCTTAATGACCAGTTTTTCAGATTTTTTCATTGCACTCTTGCTTGGGTTATTTTCAAAAACAGCCAACCCATGCACAACAATGCATGTGATAACCATCTTCTAGAATTAAGGAGGAAAGGCACATCTGACTCAAAATCAGCCCAAAGATCAGTCAACTCTGCAGTTGCTGAGGTCAGCTGGAAACTCTTCCTCTTCCAAGCCCCAGCTTCTCCTCATTCAGATGCTAACTGTGACTCTTGTGAATTTCTCAAGCGGCTCAGAGAAAATGAGAGAAAGGATGTGGGTGCCACTTTGGAGACGATCGAGAAAAACTGAAAGAAAAGTGAAGTGCTTGGACAGTGCCCTCGAGCCTGCGGGTAGCTCTCCTGCAAGCAGCCACTGTGGCTGGAAGCCCAGGGAGCTTTTCTACATCCCCCATTAAACTTGCACTGTTTTTTTTGCCCCTTCCCAGGGCTTGCCAGCAAGAATAGCAAAAAGAGAAAGGAAAGTCTGAAATTCAGAGAAAGTGAGCTAATTTGAGGAACATGGGTCTTGATCGTGCTCTCATTTGTATAACCAACTCATTGGTTTCAATCACCATCATACTTGACATCACGGAGCCAAACAGAAACGTTCCTCATTCATTCACTGGGTAAGATAAAGAATGATAAAATGGGCCGGGCGCGGTGGCTCGCGCCTGTAATCCCAACACTTTGGGGGGCCGAGGCAGGTGGATCACGAGGTCAAGAGATCAAGACCATCCTGGTCAACATGGTGAAACCCCGTCTCTACTAAAAATACAAAAAATTAGCTGGGCATGGTGGCACGTGCCTGTAATTCCAGCTACTCGGGAGGCTGAGGCAGGAGAATTGCCTGAACCCAGGAGGCGGAGGTTGCAGTGAACCGAGATTGCGCCATTGCACTCCAGCCTGGGTGACAAGAGCGAAACTTTGTCTCAAACAAACAAAAAAAAAAAAAAAGAAAGAAAAAGAATGATAAAACAGGAGCAGTGTATGTGAGGTGGAGGCAGGACCCCCCTGTGGTCCTACAGATCAGGCACGGCATGCTCCCCACTGAGGGAACCTCAAAAGGAGGCCAAAGTAGGGGAACTGTTTGACCAGAGTTCATCTAGGGCAGGCTCTGGGGCACAGAGCAAGGTGAGAGCAGGGAAGAGTGTCCTGGAAGGACATCAACGACATCCCCAGCAGAGCATGTGACAAGGTCTCCGAGCAAGGGAGGCATCCTCGGAGCCGGGCCAGACTGAGGCTGCAGAGGCAGTGCCCCAAAGCTGATATGTCCCTTACAAGGGCTTTATCTGTCACCAAACCCATCCTTGCTGCTCTCAGCAACCCATGCACACACACTCGGCTGCCTGCTGGATGCGATTGGAAGGGACCAAGCTGGGAAAGCCAGGACACATCCACAAATGAGAGATCAAGTTAGAAGACAAAATGCACGGACTAAAGTGTGAACGAGGCCAAACCCTCTCTCCCGGCCGGCCATGCAAACTCCACTTGGTTCTATCTCAAGGAGAAGGGTTTTGAAATAGCGTACAGATAGAAAGGAGTGTGTGTTCACAAGGAGATCTGTACCTTTAAATGCAAAGCAACATTTTAAAAAAAAATGTAGTAGAGTATCTTTTTCTCATGCAAAGTTCAAGTTGAGAAAGACCTTTGGGGATGGAACAGTTGCATAAGCACGGGATTAGCTGTACTTGATGATAAATAAATGAGTGACAACTAGTGAGGCAAGCCTAGAATATACTGAGCAGCTACCCGCACCCCATGCTAGACTTAGCTGAAACCCAGCTTTTTTATTTTATTTTAGTCTTCCTTGATTTTCTGTCACTCCCACTACACACCCGGGTCTTCTGCCACTCATAGTCCACGAGTCTCCCGGCCTGCACTCTCGGGCACCTCGGTATTCCAATATTCTGTTTCCATGTCTGACTTCACACTGATCAGCTCTCCTGGGTCTTCATCATAGCCTGGACCCAGCTTGGAACAAGAAGTACATAAGGGCTCAGTAAATATATGCTGAATAAGTGACTAAATGCCAGCCTTTGCCAGTGCTCTCTGTGTTAACATTCACAGCCGCCCCGACTGGGGGCATCGTTACTGTTCCCACATTTACAGATGAGTAAACTGGCCCAGGGAGGTCAGATCGCTTCCCGTGGGCCAAACATCTGGTTAGTGACAAAAATAGGATTTAAATCTCAGTGTGACCAAATCCAGAGTCTATGCCTTTGGCTCAGTCTATGCCTTTGCGTCCTGTACCTCTGAGAAAAACTTTGAATGAGTCTTAGAAGATTCAGAAAGATCCAGAGAGAGCCCAGGGAGCAAGTTGCTCTCATTGTTTGGTGCCAATGAAGGCTCTTTCCTTTCAGAGGTGGCCAAGAGTAACAGTGTTAGGGCCAAAGTTTTTATTCAATTGATAATCATTGAGACCTGAGTTTTGTTCTATCTCTGTCACTCACGTCTTTGTGTATCTGAACAAGTAAATCACTTCATTTCTCGGGTATTCCTTTTCCTTCATTCAGTCATAGAGCACACGCTTACCAAGGGCCCATGATGTACCAAGTAATGCATTAGGTGCCAGAGATGCAAAGATAAAAATCCCTGGCTGCCTGTCTTCAGAAAGCTCACTAGCTAGCTAGGAGACAGACCTGCAAATCAGCAATTATAATGGAGGTTCGTGCAAATCTATGCAAGGTGCAAAGAACACAGAAGAGGTGACATACGGCTGTAGAAGGTCAAGGGGTAGGGAAGAAAGGCTTTATGGAGGTGGGAGCATTTGAGCTCTCGAGCAAAGCCCAAGGCCTGGAAGCTCCCTTCCAGCTAACTGCACAGGAATTCTGGATGCCAAAGTGCCATAAATGGAGGTCTTGGGGGAGGGGGACTTCTCCTCAAGGCTTTTGTGCTTTAGGGTGTGCCACAGCTAATGGTCATCAGAAGGGCTTTGAAGCCAGCCTGGGTGGCCACTTCTCCCCAGTGTGACCCTCCCTACACTTCAGCTTCTTCACCTGGGAAATGCAGTATCCCTAGCAAGTGTCTCCCTGCAAACAGCAAAACCCTGAAGAAGGTGACGACCCATGTCCTGAAACAGGCAGGGACCAGCAGTGACCTCCTGCCATGGAGTGATGGGATGAGGACACAGCCCCAGGTCTGAGCATCCTGGATGCTGGCCCCCTGCATCCAGCATGACTCACTCAGACACAGACTTACTGTGGCAGACACTATTGGGGACAAGAGGCCACAACACTCAGAGCTCTCACAATGATGGGAGCCAATGGAAGAGTTTCTGCAAGGCTGCTGCCCCTGCTTTTAGTGTAGGGCCTAGTGTTGCTATAGGTCAATAGCTCTGCACATCCAGCAGCCTCCACCAGCCAGTGCAAAGGGTCAGGCTTCACTGCTGTCACCCAAACTTTGTGGCACACAGGCCTGGGATCCCTTAATAATTCATGCTTCCTGGGGCCCATGCCTTTTTTGGCCCCTTTCCCTGAGGGCAGGCAGAACCTGAGATTTGCTTCCAACCAATGGGATATGGCAACCATTAAGGCAGTCCTCAGTTGTCATGAAAGTCCCAAATCAGTTGGTTTTGAGTTATCAAAAAGGACATTACTCTGGGAGAGCCTGACTTATCATATGCAAGTGCTCAACAGAAGGACCAGGGCCCTTCTTGACATGAGAGACTGTCTCCTCATTACTGGCTTTGCAGAAGGAGCTCCCATGATGTGAGAGGGCCATGGAGGACCTGAGGAGACCTAAGGAACCAAGAGCAGCCCCTGCTGGCAGCCAGCAAGAGTGTGAGGACCTCAGTCTGACAGCAGGAGGAGGTAAACTCACCAACAACCTGAGCACGGAAGCAGATTCTTCCCCAGTTGAACCTCCAGCCTCCAGATGAGACCTCAGCCCTGCGACATCTGGATTGCTGCCTTGGGAGACCCTGAGCAGAGGACCAAGTCAAGCCATGCCTGGGCTCTTGACCTGTGAAAACTGTGGGTGCTGTTTTACTCTATTAAGTTTGTCTTGCAGCAATACTAAACTGATATCCCAGGGCCTTCTGCAAAACGTCATTGCAGCCTGGCTAGATTGGTATCATTCTGTACCACACCTGGGTTCTTTCTGGTTCATGTAACCCCTAAAACCTCCAGGTCCCAGTAAAGACTGTGAGTTTTCAGGGTTTCTCTGGAATGTGCAGGGCTTCTGAAGACATCCAGATACCAACCTGGCCAACCCACACCTTGCCAGCCACTGCCATTGTACTGCCCAGTATCACATCAGATATGGCCCAAGTTGCACTCTTGATTTTCCTAGTGGCTTGCAGGCTTTCTAGACTGTGTGCTTGACCAGCACCGATATTCCTGCAACCCCAAGCCTACCTGGATGTTCCTACCACGTCCTTCTTCCATTCCTGCACATCCCACTTGAAAAGGTTGCCAGGATCCAGGGTCAGGCCCAAGCCCTGCCCTCTCCTTCCTTCCCTGTTTTTGGTCTGTAAGAAGCTGCCTCATCCCCCAGGATCTTTAGATCCATTTCACTATAGTCAGAAATGTCTCTGAAGCACGAAGTAAGGCTGAACATCCACAAGTGAATAAGAGTTTTGTCTTTTGAGCACAAGCAAAGCGAGGTCTTGTCATGTGAGAAACGGACACCTCTGAATGCCTCTAGGCCCCTGCTGGGCTCACCGGTGGAGTCTGGACCACAAAATGTGGGCCAGATAATTATCCAGAGATGTCTAAGCAGATCACCAAAGACAAGACCATCTCCAAAAGGGAAAGTAATTAAGTTGAGTCTGAGCAGCAGTGCCAAAGCCCAGGCCAGTGCCACAAACAAGGTGACAGAGGCCCACGCTGGCCTGTTACTGGGCATGCGCAATTTAAGAAACCTTTACTTGTTTGCTGTGCTTCCAAAGAAGCTGTCAGGCTTAGAAAAATCACAAAAGGGAACCAAAGAAAAATAGGAAACTAACAAAAAGTGGCAGCATTTGCCAACGGCTTTCCAACGCCAGCTTTGCATCAGCCAGGAAGGCTGTTAGTAGGTGGAGCTGCTTCTGCTCTTGCTGCTTCCATGGAAGTTTCTGGTGTTTCCGTATTGCACATTCTGATTATGAAATTTTAAAACCATAATAATGTCTAAAGTGACTATGACCAGAAGTGTTCTTTTTTACAGAAACTGAAATTCAGCTGTTGAGGGAACAGGGGTGCCTGGGAATGCCGACTTCCCCAGGCCCTTGCAGGGTGCTTGCAGCCCTCTCCCCTGCTCCTGGCAGCCATGCAGCAGTGTCTTCGTGTGCATGTGCCTTCCAGGTCCAGCAGCTGCAGTGACCTCGTCACAGGAATGCTGCTCACAGGGAGTGTACGGTAAGCCAGCATGCTTGGTGCATTTGCACCTGTTCATGTGAAATGAACAATGGGTGGAACATCAGATCAGCTGTTTCTCTAAATTGGCCATAGCGGGCATTTCTAAATGTTTCACGGCCACCAATTCCAGGCTAAAACAAGACATTTTAAAGCGTATTTTGCACTGGGCACGGTGGCTCACTCCTGTAATCCCAGCACTTTGGGAGGTCAAGGTAGGTAGATAGCCTGAGGTCAAGAGTTTGAGACCAGCCTGACTAATACGGTGAAACCCGTCTCTACTGAAAATGCAAAAATTAGCTGTACATGGTGGCACACACCTGTAGTCCCAGTTACTTGGGAAGCTGAGATAGGAGAATTGCTTGAACCCGGAAGTGGAGATTGCAGTTAGCCAAGGTCGTGCCAGCCTGGGTAACACAGCGAGACTCTGTTAAAAAAAAAAAAAAAAAAAAAAAACATATTTTGAACTAGAGTTTGTCCTGTGCCTTCATGTTATCTCTATCCTTCCTGAGAAAGAGAAACCCATTCTTTCCAGTTTTCAGGGATAAGAAAACTAGAAGATTATTTCATTTATGTTAAAATTCCATGTGCATTCAGTACAAGCAATAATGTCATTGTTTTGTATGTAAAGACGCAAGTTTTAGATTTGTGCTAATCGTGTCTCCCTTCCTCACAGCACACACTGGTTCAGAAGGACACCAGAAGGCTGGCCTGCTCAGAGTCACACATCCTTGCCAGCCTATAGCCTGGCCCTTTCTCCTCCTGTCCACCGGCCCATTCCACTCGCCCCAGGGGCTCCTGACAGCCTCTGTGCGTGGATTTTGGAGGCAGTCTGGTGAGGTGTATAGACCCCTTCACAGAACAACGTTTTTAAATGCATGAAATGCGTGGGATTGAAAGGGGAATCAATAACCTCATGTTATTGCGCATATCTTTATTGTGCTTTGCAGATATCGCTTTTTTCTTTTTTTTGCAAATGGAAGGTTTGGCCACCCTCCTGCGTGAGCAAGTCTAACAGCGCCATTTTTCCAACAGCGTGTTCTCACTTCTTGTCTCTGTCACATTTTGCTAATTCTCACACTATTTCAAATTTCTTCCTTATTACTATATTGGTTATGATGATCTGTGATCAGTGATTTTTTGATTGTCATTGTTCAGGGGCACCACAAACCATGCCCATATAAGGTGGTGAACTTAATCAATAAATATGGCATGTTTTCTGACTGCTCCGTCAACCAGCCCTCCTGTGTCTCCGTCTTCTATGGCCTCCCCATTCCCTTAAACACAACAATATTGAAATTAAGCCAGTTAGTAACCCTGCAATGACCCCTAACTGTTCAAGTGAAAAGAAGATTGTCAGGTGTCTCACTTTAAATTAAAGGCTAGAGATAATGAAGTTGAATGAGAACGGCATGTCAAAAACCAAGATAGGCTGGAAGGAAGGCCTTTTGCACCAAACAGTTAGCTAAGCTGTGAATGCAAAGGAAAAGCTCTTGAAGGAAATTGAAAGCACGACTTCAGTGAACACACAAATGGTAACAGAGTGAAACAGACTTATTGCTGAGAGGGAAAAAGTTTTCGTGGTCTATACAGAAGATCAAATCAGCCATAACAATCCCTTAAGTCAAAGCCTAATCCAGAGGAAGGTCCTAACTCTCTTCTTTGATGGCTGAGAGAGGCGAGGAAGCTGCAGAAGAAAAGTTGGAAGCTAGCAGAGATTGGTTCATGAGATTTAAGGAAAGAAGGTATCTCCATAACATGATGGTGGCTGCACCAAACAACAGGTTTTCCATGGTCATAAAACAGACTTCTCTTGGAAGAAGAGACTGTCTAGGACTCTCGTAGCTAGAGAGGAGAAGTAAATGCCTGGCTTCAAAGCATCAAAGGACAAGTTGATTCTCTTGTTAGGCACTAATGCAGCCGGAGACTTTAAGTTTAAACCAATGTTCACTTACCATTCCCAAAATCCTAGAGCCCTTAATGATTCTGCTAAGCCTATCCTGCCTGTGCTCTAGAAATGAAGCAACAGTGCCTGGGAAACAGCACATCTATCTACAACATGGTTTACTGAATATTTTGGACCTACTGCTGAGACCTACTGCTCAGGAAAAAAGGTTCCGTTCAAAATATTACTGCTTATTAATAATATACTCAGTCACCTGAAAGCTCTGATGGAGATATACAAAGAGATTAATGTTGTTTTTATGTCTGCTTACACTACATCCATTCTGTAACCCATGGATCAAGGAATAATTTCAACTTTAAAGTGTTATTATTTAAGAAATACATTTTGTGCATAAAGATACAGGCATTAGATTTATATGAATAGTGTTTCCCTCCCAATAGATAACTTGATAAATAGGGATTACAGTGATGAAACTAGGCAAAGTAAATTGAAAACCTTCTGGAAGGGATTCCCCATTTTTTAGATGCCATTAAGAACATTTGCAATTCAGGGGAGAAGGTCAAACTATTCCAATCCTCATGGGTGACTTTGAGGGAGGAGTTTGAGTCTTTAGCGGAGGAAGTCATTACACACAGATATGGTGGAAATAGCAAGAGAACGGGAATGATGAAGATGCTGTGAACATTGGTGAAATTACAACAAACAACTTAGAATATTACATAAATGTAATTAATAAAACAGTGGAGGATTTGGGGGACCGACTTAAATTTTGAAAGAAATTCTACTGTGGGTACAGTGTTATCAAACACCACCACATGCTATTGAGAAATCTTGTGTGGAGGCCTCCTTTCATTGATGTGGCAAACTTCACTGTTGTCTTGTTTTAAGAAATTGGCACAGCTGGACGGGCATAGTGGCTCATGCCTGTAATCCCAGCACTTTGGGAGGCCGAGGTGGGTGGATCACCTGAGGTCGGGAGTTCCAGACTAGCCTGACCAATATAAAAAAAAAAAAAAAAAACAAAAAAAAAAAAAAAAAGTCTCTACTAAAAATACAAAATTATCCAGGCATGGTGGTGCATGCCTGTAATCCCAGCTACTCCCGAGGCTGAGGCAGGAGAATTGCTTGAACCTGGGAGGCAGAGGTTGTGATGAGCCGAGATTGGGCCATTGTACTCCAGCCTGGGCAAAAAAAGCAAAACTCCATCTCAAAAAAATAGAAAGAAAGAAATTGGCACAGCCACCCCAACCCTCAGCAACCACCACTCTGATCATTCAGCACCATCAGTATCGAGGTAAGCTCCTCCATATTGAAAGAGATTACAACTCGCTAAAGGCTCAAATGATCATTAGCAATTTTAACAATAAAGTATTTTTTATTCAGGTATGTATTTTTTTTAGACTTAATACTATTACACATTTAGCAGACTACAGTACAGTGTAAACATAACTTTTTTTTTTTTTTTTTTTGAGATGGAATCTCTCCGCAACACCCAGGCTGAAGTGCAACGGCGCGATCTCGGCTCACTGCAACCTCTGCCTCCCAGGTTCAAGCGATTCTCCTGCCTCAGCCTCCTGAGCAGCTGGGATTACAGGCACCGGCCACCATGCCCAGATAATATTTGTATTTTTAGTAGAGACAGGGTTTCGCCATGTTGGTCAGGCTGGTCTTGAACTCCTGACCTCAACAGATCCACCCGCCTCAGACTCTCAAAGTGCTGAGATTACAGGCGTGAGCCACCGCACCTGGCAAACATAACTTTGACATGTACTAGGAAGCCAAAAAATTCATGTGACTCACTCTATTGCAATATTAATTTTATATGCAATTAAACATTTTATACTGTAAAGGCATACCTTGATCGCAATGTGTCCAAGGTATGCCTGTACGTAAACTTGTTACATAAAAAATGTTTCTTAAAACTTTGCTACCTTCTTCTTAAGACACTAAATAACAGTAATCTATTCATTACCCTATTGAAGCAATGCTGAGCATACATGAAATACCAAGATGTTTGCAACAACTACCCTGAAAGGACATTAGCTGCGCTTCTACCAGAGGTCAGAGGTGCCATCAATATAGGAGAAGGGAATGCTGAAGTGCAGTCCGATGTTAGTGAAAACCAAGATGGAACCTTTTCTTGTATAGGTTCAGAATCTCCTTGGATTTTATCCGTGGTCTTGAGAGACTGTGAGGTGTCTTCTTCCATGTCCCCAAGCAGGATGACATAGTCTGCAGCATTTGCTTCTGGGCCTGGTTCTCTGGAGACACCCAGGGCTGGGCATCCCATTGTGTGCATGCACCTTTGTCTGGATATGGGAAAGGAGGGGAAGAGGAGGAGAAGGAAGGAAATGAAGAGGGAAGAAGGAAAGAAGGGAAGAAAGGGGGAGAGTGAGAGAAGAGAGAACATGGGGCCCTTCTTTCTTCACTTCATCAATAAGGGGCCAGCAGGCAAGGATGGTAGGTTCAACTTGTCCATGACCCTCAGACCCAGACAGACCCCAGGTCCAGGGGCATCCCCCACAAGCCACTAGGACCCGACCTTCACCAAAGTATCGGAAGGAAACGCCACAAAGCTCCACGGCAGCCAGGCATCCTTTTCCAAGCCCACCCAACAGTCTCTGCCCCAGGGCCAGCTCCTGATGTGGAGTGTCCTTGGTGTGAGCCCCACAGCCCCCTCTGAGCCCACCTCCCAGCCTCCTCCACTCTGAGTAAAGCCAGCAAAAGGGAACCTGTACAGAATGTGGGCCACAGCCAGGGGAGGAAAGAAAAGCCCTTGGAAAACACTAAATCATGCTGCTTGTTCCAAAAGCCCCAAGGACAGCAGAATTATCTGGAAAATGAATTCCCAAAAAAATGATTCATGGAGGGGAAAAAGAATTTTTCCTAGGATTCTTCTTTCAATTTCAAATTTCTAGGCAAGTACACATTGCAGCCCCATAATACATCCTTTCTCCATTAATAATCGTGATTTTCAGGAGAGAGGGTCATTTTTCCTGTTATTGTTGGTCATGCCTGCCAGTAAACAAGCTGTGTGTGCTGTGTGGGGGTCAGGGCAGCGCACTCAGACCCTAAAAGCTAAACCCCGCGTGTCCATGACCTTGGGCTTGCCCAGCTGGACGGATTTCCATGCACTCCACATCTGGATTCCAAGAACAGACTGACATACAATGTTCCAGATCAAACAGATGTGGATGAGAAAGCCCTGTCAGAGAAAACACCACCCATTCTCTCCCAAAGGCTAATTGTTTTTTAAAGGAGAATAAATAATTACAAGCTACTTTTGCAATGTTTCTAGAACCAAAGTGGGATTTGTAAATCTCTGAACTGTTCAAGCAGGCTTGCCCCCAGCCCCCTGAGTCATGACAGGAAAGGAATTATTTATAGCCCAGGACACTTTGTTTACATACTTGGCTAGCTCCTGGGCAGAGTCTTTCCTCCACCTGCACAGTAAAAGTTGCTCATCAAAAATAGAAAATTATTGCTTCCTTTTCAACTTTCCCTGAAAGCACCGAGAAGAGGAGAGGGGAATGCAAAGGATATTTTTACTAAAGGATTCTTTCCTCTCCAACTAAAATCTTATCCAAATGTTGCTTCCTTAATCCCCAGAAGGAAAAAAATCCCTGAGCCCTTTTGTAGAAGTATTAGAGACAAAGTCCTGAGGCTCCACACACTATTGTCCCCAAGGCCCGGGGGGGTTCTCAAACTGCCTGGGAGGTGCTATGAGGGGCTGTGAGAATGTAAAGGAACCTACCACCCAAGCTGGGGCCTTGGGACCAGCCTCTGTTTCATCCAGACCAGCCCTGCCTTCATCTATTGTGCACATTGGGCATCAAGACTGCTTCTGCTGGCAAACCGGAGTTTGAAAGTGTCAGAAATGGATGATCAAGAAGGTCCTTGGGGCTTCCGGATGAATGCATCATTCTCTCACTATGTCCTGTATGGTTGCCATCAATACAGAGCATGCAGGGCCAAGCAGCCTTCTGCCCAGCCTGCTGGAGATGCCACATCCACAGCACGGTGAGACCTAGAAGCCACAGGAGAAAAGGGGGAAGCCTGTCGTTTCCCTCCCGAGATTCGTGATCTACTTGTAGAGAGAGATGACCCAGAGAGCCGGCTGGCGGGAGGACAAGCAGCTGTAAAGGTGCAGGAAAGCAGCCACACAGAAGGTGGCACGGGGGATGGGGAGCCTCAAAGAGGCACAAGCCAGGACAGCTCCTCGGGGCAACTGGACGTGCCCTAGGTAATGCAGATAGTGCAGGTAACCTGCTGAGCAGCCACCAAAAGGCAAGAGCCATGTTAGGAAGAGATCAGATTGGTCAGACACACCATAGGCTGCTGAAAAGTGGGTTCTGTTACTGAGCATTAATCATTAGATTGGAGAGATTGCTGAGAAGTACTTCACACTTGAAAAAGACATTTTCAGGAGAAAATGAAAGGAAAATGTGGTTGGGGAGAGATCTGATTATTCTATTTATATCTAACTGGGTAACATGGTATATATGACACATACACAGCTAGATGGTTGGATGGATATATATATAAAGATCATCTCTCATAGGAAGGTCTTGAGCCAGGACCCACATGCACCACACTCAAATATTACACATGAATTTCCAAAGACCAAAATCTTTAAAGCACCAACACTGGAACTTTCTTAGACTAAAATGATTCAGTTAGATAGCAGAATTCAACAACTTGCAGGAGTCAAAGGGGAACATGTTGTTTTATAAGTTAACTAGAAACATTTCTTGAGCCAAACTAGACATGGAGTTATTGACACAACCGGAGGGCAGAGCTCACCAAGGGCACTGACGCTGGCCGCTGCTCAGCTCACCCAGGACCTCGCACACTGCCCACGGCCACACCACAGAATGGCAGGACACACGTGTTCCAACACTGACCAAAGGC